AGCTCAAGGCCAGTGCTCTACCACTTGAGCTATAGCGCCACTTCCGGTTTTCTGGTGGTTTATTGGAGATAGGAGTCTCACGGTCTCTCCTGAGTAGCTAGGATTACAGGCGTGAGCCACCAGCGCCCGGCCACTTGCAGCTTTTTTGAGTAGTTTATTGAAGATAAGTGTCTCATGGACTTTCCTGCCCAGGCTGGCTTTGAACCGCAATCCTCAGATCTCAGCCTCCAGAGTAGCTAGGATTAAGGGCATAAGCCATTGGCGCCCGGCTTGCACTGGTCATTGTTTGTTTTTTTTTTGGCGGGGGTCCGGTCGTGGGGCCTGAACTCTGGGCCTGGGCGCTGTCCCTCTGCTCTTCAGCTCAAGGCTAGCACTCTACCACTTGAGCCACAGCGCCACTTCCTGCACTGGTAATTTTTAAGATAAGGTTTTGCTTCCTGCTTGGATGCCTGTCTGGACATGATCCGCTTATGTTTAGTGTTGCTATAGTTGTTGGCATCACAGGCATGTGCCACTGTGTCCAGCTTTTCCCCCATTTTCTGTCCAAGCTGGCCTCCAATCACAGTCCTCTCAGTCTCAGCCTTCCAAGTAGCTAGGACTACAGATGTGAGCTAGCAGAAAACCACTATTAATATATTTCTCTTTCAAGAGGGTATCATTTTAATTTTTGCTTTATTCATGACAAAAACTGTGAATCCATATGCTAAATCAGTTATTAGGTCTGGCACTTTTGGCATTTGCGCTTTGGGTTATTACACATCATGGCTTACAAGGACACTGTAGGTTTTAGTATTTGAAGATTACAGCGTGTCCAAGCTAGAGTTAGTGGAGTTCAACTGCAGCTAGAATGGAAACATCTTTTTCCAGACTAAAAAGAATGAATTCTGAAAATTCTGGAAGTCAAAACATACCTTTGAATTTGAGCAAGGACTTTCTAGACTAAAAGGTACATTTCAGAAGAAGCCTAAAATAAAAGTATCTACAGGCAGTAGAGTTAGGATTATTACAGTGGTTGCACCTACTCAAATGGGTCTTGAGTCCTGAGTGTCCTGTACACACCGAAGAAAGACAGGAGCGAGTGCTCACCTGGCTGCAGAACTGAAGTTCCTTCCGAGTCGCACAGCATACCCTCCTCCTGAGTAGGTGGCCAATTCTCCTTGGATGGGATAGCCACCCAGTGCACGCTGATCCTGGTAATGCCAAATGCTGTCTGCTTCAGTCAGATTTGTGTCGGGGAGGCCCCAGCCAACCCCATAGTTCCCTCTGTCCTCTTGATACAGGTCAGATGACAGGACTTGTTCTTTAAGAGAGACTGGGAAGAGTGTGGCCTTAGGAATGCGAATCTGCCGGAGCAGAACATTGCCCAAAAGAAAGGAGTTCCCATCAGTAATAAACCCTAGTGAGAAAAGAGACACCAATTTTAAAAATTGCTTCCTTAACTGAGTGCAGGCTTTTCCTGCCTGGCTCTCTTGGAACTTCAATCCTCAGATTTCAGCTTCCTGAGTTGCTAGGACTACAGTGTAAACCCAGTGGCCTGCTGAAAGAACCTTCTTAGGAGAGGTGCAGAAAAATAGGCTCGTGGAGTACTCACAGAGGGACAGCGAAACTGAGAAGGTGGCTGACTTTTCTCCAGCTTGTGGGTTTGAAAAACGAACTCTACCTTCCCTCGTTTGCCCAGAACCGCCTCCTTACCTCTGTAATTCCCATAGAGGTTCGGAAGGAGGGTGTGGTTGGCCCAGGGGTAGAAGTCCTTGAGAAATTTGATTTCTGAGAAACCGTGAGAAAAACTCTTCCAGAGAGCTTGATGGAGGAAAAATCTATTAGAGTTCTTTGAAGAGTAGACCACAGTCATCAACAGGATAAGGAAGAGGGTTTGTACTAGTTTAGAAAGGAAGAGAACCATGAGTAGTTACTCAGAAATCCTCTATATATTTGTCTTCATTTTTATCTAATCCTATACTCTTGCAGATAAACAGTAAAAATCAGGGGCTGGGAAGGTGACTCAGTGGTAGAGTGCTTGACTTGCATGCCTGAGGCCCTGGGTTCCATTCCTCAGCACCACATAAGAAAAAAGAAAAAAGCCGGAAGTGGCGCTATGGCTCAAGTGGTAGAGCGCTAGCGTTGAGCTGAAGAGCTGAGGGACAGCGCCCAGGCCCAGAGTTCAGGCCCCATGACCAGACCCAAAAAACAAAACAACAGCAACAAAAAAAAACAGTAAAAATCAGCAATTTCATGTAGTTCAGTCTAATCATTACAAATACAAATGTACACACACATATATATTTACATATTTTGTACCCAGAATGATTCTACCACTAATCAGAAATTATTGAAGATCCATAAAAATACTGTTTTAGTTCTTGTAATTTTTTAATTTCCATTTTCTTTCTTTTTTTTTTGTCGGTCGTGGGGCCTGAACTCTGGGCCTGGGCGCTGTCCCTCAGCTCTTCAGCTCAAGGCTAGTGTTCTACCACTTGAGCCACTGCGCCACTTCCGGCTTTTTTCTGCTTATGTGGTGCTGAGGAATCAAACCCAGGGCATCATGCATGCAAGGCAAGCGCTATACCACTGAGCCACTCTCCCAGCCTTCCATTTTCTTTTGACTACTTGTGTTCACAAGAAGGGAAGACATGATTAAATCAGAATCTGACCCAGGGAATCCAATATTGTATTAAATAGGTTGAAGCAGTCATCTAGCACTTAATCATTTTCCATAGCATTTCCATTTTTCCTAGGAAGTAGTGGATCCTATCTGGCAAACGGAGAAGACAACTCCCTCACATGCACAGAGAAATCACTACAAGTCTGGAATCTGCTCACTTGCCATATTCCATGTAGGCTTTTTTCTTGGTGCTAGTGAACTCAGGGACTGGGTGCCATCCCTTATCTTTTTTTTTTTTTTGCCAGTCGTGGGGCCTGAACTCTGGGCCTGGGCGCTGTCCCCAGCTCTTCAGCTCAAGGCTAGTGCTCTACCACTTGAGCCACAGCACCACTTCTGGCTTTTTCTGCTTATGTGGTGCTGAGGAATGGAACCCAGGGCC